GTTTCCTTAATTATTTAAATGAGCAAACAATCCATCAACTGCTCAGACTGTGTTACTGACGATCTGTGTGGAGTGCTATGTATGTACCACACTATTAAGAGCTAACATACCTTGACACTTGAAAAGAAGTGACTAAGACCAAGCTGTTAACATTTAAAATGTGTATTTACAAAGACTTAACACTTGGTTTAAAACTTTTGACTAAATAAAAATATGATAGGGAAAATTTAGCTTAGCTGCTTTTCCTATATTGAAGACAAAGAGAAATAACATTTATTCGAGCTAAGTTTTGGGAAGTAACTGCTAAATTCATTCAATCTGTTATCAATCTCTCTTAAATCTTTCAGGCATCCATATGATTCTTACTTCTTACAAGCTCAGACTTACTCTTTAATTAAAAAATCAAATGTCTAATTACATGCTGTAAAAAAGAATGGAAATTCCATAATCATAAATATTTAAATATGAACATCAGAAAAACCATAATGATATAGTCTTGGAGGCAAATTATTTGATAGTATACATATATACACGTACACAATAATTTTGTTATTAAATTAGAACAATCTACTTGTATTATGTAATAGTTATAGTACCTCATGTTTCTTAAACCCATATTCAGGACACAAACCATTGTTTACTTTAGCCTCCACAGATTTAGAAGCAGGCAGTCTCAGAGTGTTAAGCAGCTATAACTACTACTCTGAATTAGTCTTTCATACTTCAAGCCTCAACATTCAAATAACATAATTTACAGTAGATCACTTCTAAGTCACATATATGGATCCTATTCTATGATATTCCCCTAATACAAAATGTCAAAGGCTCTTATAAATTACCAAACTAAACAGTATCTCTTCAGTTTGACCTACCCAGGACATCATAAGCATCTGCGTATTTTAAACTGAAGTCTTCTAAAAATAATGATCAGCAACATTGGTTAAATATCCACCATGCATTAGAAAGTGGTCTAAATATAAAAACACCCCCTACCATAATACACAGTAATCAAATGTGATTCAAGAAAGTGAGGACAAGAATGGCAAATAAATTAAGAAGAGATAAACTTGGTACTGAGGTATGAAGAAAATCAAATGCCATGCTGAAGAGTTTGGGCTTTTTCCTCTAAGCAATGAAGTCATCAAAATTTTTGAAGGGTTGATTCTCATGATCATATACAAATTTTAGGAAGTACTCTGATGGCAGTGTGGTTGATGAACAAGAGAGGAGAGAATATAGAAATAATTAAGAGCTTATAAAATATCAAGGAGTCAATTTTGTCATTCTAAAATTGAGGTAATAAGTACAGAGGTAAAGACAAGTTTGAGATTAAATACAAATATGTGATCAATAGGATTTTCATGAAGATTGGTTAAGGATAGGACAGCATAGAGTATAGCTAAAATATGAATTGAATAAAGATGATATGTTGAGAGCTTATTAGGTTTACAGCACAGATTACCATCAACCATCAACCAGGACCAGAAATAGTAGGAGGTGCAGGTTAGAGATAAAGACTGAGCTCATTAAAATTCTGGGTATCTTCAGGTTATCAAATCAAAGATATACTGATGCAAACTGGAGGAACTAAGTGTCACAGAGGATCACCCAAGTACTGGGAAGAGTGCACCTCTGTTTCCTAATGATGCAATGACTTAATATACCTGGTTAAACATGCTCTCCATGGTCACTGACAATAGTCTATTGCATCACTGGAGGACATAATTTGTACAGTATCTTTTATCTTTTCAAAATAGAGATGTCCCCTCAGGGGAAACACTACCCAAACAGGAAAAGGGCTTTGAAGATATACATACTTATAGAAGTTATAATTACAGACATCCTTATTTTGTAGATTACTCAAAAAAGAGTCCAGGAGGACAGCCAACTTGCTCAAACTACATCAGCCTTATTTCACAAAACATGGAACTGTTGTAATTATTGGTAACTCAAACCCTCTTGAGGGGCTGCTGTGAATTGTTCAACTTTCATTGCTTTTGGTTTCTACTTTTATATTATCCTAATTTAGGTTTGATTTGGCCAAAACAACATAAATTTCTTCTGCCTTGTTTAAAAAATTGAAATTCATCATTCAGGATGTGATGATTAAAAAAAAAGATAGCAAAATAATGTAATAGCCTCCATCTCTAAACTACAGTAAATTAGGCCAGGTTGTCAGCCTACTACTTAGTACTGACATACCGAGTAAATGTCATTCTATCTTAAAACAAATTATTTATCTGGAACATGAATTTCTCCTAAAGAGGCATATAAGGAAACCAAACACAGGTTTCTTCTTTTCACTTAGTTTCATAATGAACCCAAGGGCTTATTAAAGTTCAATTTTCACCTGTTGTGTTGTAGTTCTAAGATCCACAATTCACAAGTGACAAAAACAGACAAATGAAAAATTGCACTCACAAGAGACCACACAAAAATATGCTGAGAAGAAAAACAGATGGAGTAAATGTCCTAGATGAAGGAAAAATGGAAGACAGTAGGAATAGCCTTGGGAAAGAATGAGAACACTAAACACATCTTTAAGACAGGAGGGCACTTCTAAAGGTCAGATTCTTAAAAAGCATGAATGCTGGCTCTAAGTAGATCTTAGCTCTCCTCTCTGACCCTGGTGTTGCACCTACTGTAGCTGATCTTCCCAATGCTCAGGAGGCTCATCTTCCTTAGTGCTGTTACTCAGATAATCCCCCAGCTTGCATTTGGGGGCTTTATCCCTGGAGTATAAATCCAGATGGATTACTTGAACTTTTTAAGATTTTCATGCACTAGCTTCATCTTTGTCCAGTAGACAGAATACAAAAACATGAAACCCGAATAATTTAATTACTTATATTAAATTGATAGAACTATATTCTATTCAGTATATGACATGGATTACATATAGCTTTCATACTTTCCCAAACATATAAAAAGTTGATCATACTCAAACCTTATCATAAACAACCCAACACACATTTAAACACTTTCATAGAAATAAAGCTAAGAATTTTTATATATGGAATGAGAAATAGAGAAAATATTTAGCAGGATTAATAAATTAATTTTAAAAAGACAAAGAGTAAATAATTCCAGCATTTTTTTTTGCTTTCTGAAAAAAACAATAAAATTTGCAAACTGTCGACATACAAAATAAATAAAAACACATACAAATTAAAATTTTAGTCTATCAAACTTATTCAGCAAAAATTTTGTAAACCATAGGACTATAATGTATTAATATATGCTAATAGTATGAAAGGGTAATAAAATAGGCAATATTTTAGTAAATGTCAGGTTGAAAATTTAGTAAATGTCAGGTCAATAAGTAAAATTCCAACAAAATTTTTAAAAACTGGATGAAATATTTTTTATTGTAAATACCACTCCCAAAATAAATTCTGTGACCTTATTATTTTACTAGTTTTTTAAAAATTAGAAATCTCATTAATATATAATTATATATAATATATAATTATACTTTATAGCATATTATATGTGATAGAATATAATATATAAATAGTATATAATACATAATAATATATATCACTATAGAAAATATTATAAAAGTTTCAATATAACCTCCTTAATAATACTAAATAGATGGTAAGCAATAACAACATACTGTAGCACCCTAACTTTGGAGCATTCCTTCAAATTACCAAGGAAATAAAAAAGTACATACAGTATGGGATAAAATAATAAGCTTCCAGCTATTCAAGGAGAATATAATATTAGTTAGGCAACTGCTCAGAGAACTGATTGTGGCAGGGACTCAAACTCAGGCCACAGAGTCATTTGTGGGCAAATGGAGTGAATATAAATCTTCCATCATCATTACTGTCACTTTCTGAACTCCTGCAGTAGACTGTGTTTTCATCTACTGAAGGCACTTGGCAATTTATATGGAGGGTCAACTGGTTATTTTTAGGTAAAGAAAATATGGTTATTTTGTTTTTATTTGTATTTAAATTCATGTAATCTGTCCATTATGAACATATTATCATGTGAAATGAGAAAAAAAATTACAAAAGCAATTTCAAAGCACTTTGCTTGGGTCAGGAGGCCAGATAAAGAATTGTGTGTCTCGACATCTCCATCAGATCCAGCACTGTTGAAAGACTTAGAGCCTCTCTGGCTGACACCATGGCAGTCACAAACTTAAGCAGCGAGTTTCAAGGGAACAGATCTCAGTTACTTCCAAGCGGTTCTACAAGATGAATGATGACTTCATATCTCCCATCTCAAACAGGAAAACAGAGCCCTGACTGTTGTGGCTCAGAGGGATGGGCATCATCCCACAAATCAAAAGGTTGCCTGTTCAATTCCTGGCTAGGGCATATGCCTGGGCTGTGGGCCAGGTTCCTGGTTGGGGGCCATGCAAGAAGCGACCGATTGATGTTTCTCTCCCTCTCTCTCTTCCTCCCTTCCCTTTTCTCTAAAGATAAATAAATAAATAAAATATTTTAAAAAATGAAGAAATAAACTCTTAATGAAGATCATCCCAAAAGTGAGTTTTGACCGGTTTATCAAGGTGTCAGAATTATGAGATACAGAGTTCAATATCATTTTAATGTGTTGATAATTATGGCTCCATTGAAGCTCATAAATAATGTTTTTATAATTTTACTATAAGAAAATAAATAACAAAATTATCTGAAAAGATAATTTTATATGTTTATTTCTATACACAGTCCTACCTAAATATGGTTTACAAAATGTTTGCTAGTAGCAGAGAAATTAAATTCCCAACATTTTAATGTGTTTTGGATTTTAGAGGAGATTGATAAATAGTCCACAAGTTTACATGGCATATATTTACACTGCAGCATGATAATTTAAAAATAAAAGGAAATTCTAGTGGTTTTGTTTTCTATTAAAAAGAGTTAAAAAATGAGTGGGTAGTGACAATTCATGTTTCTCATTTCAATACTTGTATTAAGTTCAGAAACTTCTATTAATTTCTGATGAACAGATTTGGTGATATAATAAGAAGTTCCACTTACCATTTGGATAGAATTCTTGGAGTTTCACTTGGATAATTATCCCAGTAAAATTCTTGAAGATCTGAAAAATTAGATTGATTGAGAAGCATTAAGAAAACATACTTTACACATGATTTTATAATATATTAATTTCATATTATCTTTGACTAATAACTGTTCCAGATTTCCACAAGGATGCATTCAAACTCGTGATTTTCATTTAACATGAGTACTGTCTCAGCTCAACAAGTAGGCTCATCCTTTTATCTCTTCACACACCACCTTCAGTGTGAGGAGCTCCAGCCTGCCGGTCCTGAAACTCAGTCCTGACCTGCAGCAACCACAGGGCAGATTTAAAAAAAAAAATTCATTCTGAACTCTGACTCTGTATTTCCCCTAAAAAAAGTCAGAAGAATACACCACTCTGTTCTTGCTGTTTAATGCACACTTTCCTTGTTTTTTTTTTAAGATTTTATTTATTTATTTTTAGAGAGGGAAGGGAGAGAGAAAGGGAGAGAGAAAGAGAGCAGAAACATCAATGTGTGGTTGCTGGGGGTTATGGCCTGCAACCCAGGCATGTACCCTGGCTGAGAATCGAACCTGCGACACTTTGGTTTGCAGCCCGCACTCAATCCACTGAGCTATGCCATCCAGGGCCTAATGCACACTTTCTATGGGGGAGATTGTGTTATAACTATTCACTGTGATAATAGGGAATAAGTATTGTGAAAATTTTAGTGTAAATACTAGCCGAACTAATTTATAATGTTAGTAATTATATCACCTCTGAAAGTGTATTTCTTTAAAGATAGTGATTGCAGAGTTATTTAGATGTAATACTCTAATAGCCAAGTACTTTTATAAAATCAGAAGAGTCCTCATCAATCTAAAAATTCCTTATTTTTAAAAGATGAGGGAAATGAGACCCAGCGAAGGAGAAATGGCTTGGCCTAGATCTTAGCTTAGAGAGAGCACTATGACCAGATGCTAAGTCTCAAGACTTCAGCTTATCTCTTTCTATGGTATTATTTTAAAACATATGTGTTAAGGCTCTGATATACACCAGGCACTGAACTGGGCACTGTATAATGAACAGGATAATGAACAAGACAAATAAGATACCTGCCTTCATGAAACTTTATTCTGGTGATCTTGGTTCATTAAATTATTGCATATAGTACATTTTCACCCATATAAGTAATAACATATACAAATATAACCAAGATACCAAGATTTTGTTACACAGTTCTACCATGAGCCAAGTCTGGTTTCCAATGAATATTCTTTCTTTCACCTTAAAAATATATTTGGCCTGCGAAATGCTTAGCTAAACATCTGAGTATCTTTGACACGTAGATAGACATTCTGTGTATAGATAAATCTTTCAAAATTTGAAAGAAACACATTTTTCCATTGCATGCTTTAAAAGACATTTTTTTATTTGCTTACTGATCTGAAGTGTTAACTTTCAGACTTAGTGTGAAGCTTAATAACATGCTGTAGAGATGAAAAGTTCCATAAATACAAATGAGCAAATAGATGTCACAGGGAAAAACAAAATAAGGACCTTGAGATCCATTCTGCACATAATTTCTTAAATACTGTTTTATATTTAGCGCTGAGCTCAGTGTTCTGCTTATAGTAGATATTTATAAAATAGAATGATATAATTACATGTAAAATAGTGAATTCCTAGACTTCTAAGCAATTTTCCCACCCCTTCCTTTTCATGCCTCCAACCGATAAAAGGAACTACTTTCCCATTTAGTTGCATTACCTTAATAACTTTGGAAATATTAATTTAGAATGCCTTTCATATGAATTAGGATTTCTTTTGAATTATAAAACAGCCATTAAAACATGGAAAACAAAGAGCTAAAAATAATGCACTAAACACCAGTCCAAGCTCCGCCTACTAATTACAGTTGGTCTATTATTAAAACATTAGAGAGATATGCAAAATACTAAATAATGATAAAGTGGTTATTGGTTAAGTTCCCTTGAGAGATACAGTCCAAAGTCTATTCTCTTAAGTTATAAGGACTGCTTCTGTTTTAGCAAGTAAGCCTTCAGATTCCCCGTAAACCCCCTTAATATAACATTTAATATGCTGAAATAACAAATTATTTCACCACCACTCCCAAAAACCACAAAAACAACCAACATGTAGAATGGAACTATCAGAGGAGGCAAGAGGAAAATTTTTCTTTCATGTTAAGGAAGAAGTGACAAGTCCAGAGCCAGCTCCATGGTCACATACTTGATTAAATCATCACCAGAACCAAAGCTGGGTAATGCTCCTAAAGTATTGGTTTCATGGCTTTTACAACTTCATAGTAAGCAAAGACAAGTTTCTTTTATTCTCATCTGTTTAGGACATAAGGAGTGTTTTATGGCAGATACAAGTAAAAGTCTAACGTATATGATATTACAATAGTATATTACATATATCATGTATCTGCATATTCACTGGAAATGTCTGAATTTGAAATTGGTGTCTTCCAATTTAATAACCAACTCCATCATATAAGGATATTATCTCTTCAGAATCATATTTAGACGTCACAAGAATTCCACCACCAGAATTAGTAACCACTATCTTTGGCCAATTTCATTTTACCTTCCTTGGAGTAAATTTTTTCCAGTAGATCAGATCTCTACAGATTTTCCTGTAATGCCTTCACTTTTAGAATTAAAGTTAATACATTATTAAAAATAAACCCTCAGATCTTATTGGCCAATGTTATGCTCCTAGTCCCAATCACTGCTATTATATAAATTTTGGTTGTGAGATTTGACTTTTTCAAAAGATCAAATATATCAGAGTTTTGTCTTTTTATTCTATTTTTACTTAAAAATATCACTCTGATTTATATCCTTGAAATACATGGCATATGAATGAATATTGTCTGTCATCTGCCTAATAAAATTCAAAGATTGTTTTTTTTTAAAGTATTGTCTTATTACTGGGAATTGGAGGGCCAAATAAAACACCAGTGATAGAAACCATGTTTTACTCCCATTTCTTTCAAACAAGCCATTAACTAAGGGTCAAATATTTATGATGGAAATAAGCCACATTGATGCTGGTTATATTTGCCATAAATCTATCAGTTACTATATGTTTCAAGTAAGATGATCAGTTTCTTTTAATAATGGCTTTGCTATTAGAGCGTAAAGGAAGGAAAAAGGGAAACTAAAAGAGAAAGAAAAAGAGAAAGTCTGATAACGATGACAGTAGTTATCATTTACCACATGCCCACTGTGAGTTATCAAAGACTTGAAGCCAGCGCCTGACTTGATTTCATTTAAGGTATGATGACATTTACTTTGCTAATCAGAGAATGGATGAGGAATGGGGAGTGAAGTGACTCCACATAAACAGGAAGAGATGGTGGAAGGCTGCTGTTGCAATCCAAGCGTAACACACTGATACTTTCGACTAGAATGCAGTAGTGAAAATAGACAGAAACGAATGCAGTTGATATGTTTGGACAATAATCTCAGGGGAAAGATTGAGGATTACTTAGGTTTTGGGCTTGAGCAAGGAGGTAGATCTTAATGCTTTTTGTTGAAAGGGTATGTCTGAGAAGAAACATATTTGTCCATGGTGGAACAGAGGAGAATGAGAGGGAAGGCTCCTGTTTTGGATGTATTGTCTTTGTATATTTAAAAATACTTGTTCCATAGGTGAGCGTAAACAAGATGTCCCATACATTTCTGCTTTAGCAACCATAAAGAACTAGCCATCTCTCCATTTCACCTCATGTTGAGGTGCTTCAAGAATAATTTTCATGTTTTCTATATTCTTACACTTTTGCTTTACCTGATCCTTTTGCAGAAATTATCAATTATATTCATGTATCTTTTACTTTGAAAATTAATACATCCCTCTATCCTTTGGACTCCTCTATAATGTCCCTTTCACAGCTAAGTTCCTCAAAAGAAAACATAAATTTGTTCATTTGAACTGTCCCATTTATTTTCAGTTCTACTATGCCACTGAGTGGGTGGCTCCACTTCCATTACATTACTGAAACTGACCTCCCCAGGGTCCCCAGTTAACTGCACATAATACCACCTCACAGATTTTTTGGAGAGCTTTTTCACTGGCTCCCCTTCCTCCTCTTAAATGTTTTTTTTTTTTTGCACAATCACTGTTTTTAATTTCATTCTTTCTCCTGTCAACATTTTGCCTTGAGTAATATTAACACTCCACTTACTAACTGCTGATGATCAACAAATCGATACCTCTAACCTGTATTCTAAACTGCAGGTTCACACATGCTACTGGTTACTTGGCATCCTCACCTGGCAGCCCTGTACACACTTCAAACAAAACATGGCTAGACCCTGAGCTCCTTACCTTCACTCCTGATCTGTCCCTTCTATACCTATGGGTGGATAGCATGACCCTGCATCTACTGACTCAAGGCAGATGCTTGGAAACCAACCCATACTACTGCAGTTTCCACATCACCCACATTTTATTACTGACCCCACATTATTACTTTTACTTCCCTAAAATATCCTTCCTCAGCTCCTCACCTCTCCATCACCACCACTCTGGGGTATTTCATGTCTCAATATTACCTGAATGAATCATTTCTTGTCTGCATGGCTGCCGAAGGTCTCTATCTAAAATGTGCAGCTCAGTTCTTTCCTGATAAAACCCTCAAATATGTCTTCATTGCCTAAAAGAAAAAGTTCAGGGACTCGAGCAGGGCTTCTGAGGCTTTCCAAGATCTGATCCCTGCCTTATTTCCTTATTGACATCACCTCTAACCAAACCCTCCTACATGCTTTGACGGCATGTACTCAAATAATCCTGCTGCTGTCTATCCTGATTCCACTGGAGCTTCCACACATAAATTGATACTTCTTCATGACCCTGGTAGAAGAGGTTCCTAGACAGTTTGCCCTTGTTTACATAAAGTTCTCATATAGCAACTCCAGTATTTTATGGAACTCATTGATCTCATATTTCTATCTCACTATACTGCTCTTTTGATAAATCTATGGACATGATTGGCACTCAATAAGTGATCAATTGTTATTCAGGAATGAATGAGGAAGAAGAAT